AATAAACCTTAAAATAAGACAAATAAATATGGAGCAGCTTGCTTAGTGTCGTTTTCGGTGACATGTGCTGCTTTCCCACAGTGGTAGCCGTTTGGAAAACGCAGATAGACGGTACGGACTAAGCTAAAGTTTAAGTAGATTTAGAGCTCAAGTGTTTATTCGTTGCATTACACATACAAATCCTATAGAGAAATATAGAGGAAAGAACCAAATATTTTTTTAAAAATATTATGTGTATACTTAGTACTTGACTTATTACAAGAGCTTATGTTAGTTTAATAAACATGCTTACTTTTGTAACACAAGCAGTTTAGACATGTTGAACCGATTCGAGAAGGAGGCCTATTAGCTTCTTTTCATCACACTGTTATTCGAGTAACCGTCGAATCACACATTTAATAAACCCCTAGTATTTAGATAGCGATATTGCTCTTCATTAGGCTATTCTTCACTTGTTGAATGTAGTCCAAGTTCAGTTGATATCTTCGTACTCTTCAACTTTGCCATTTCGATGACTCCACACTAACTCTGTGCTAAGGTGTACAAATATTGATTCAAATCACCGCTACCAATTTCCGAAACGCGTCTACGGATTATTCATCGCGAAAGCCTTGTTACCTCAGTTACGAGTTTGCCAATATCGCATTATGAGAACACATGCAAATGGCGGATGTTTTTCTGGCGTGTGTTTCTACGATACAGACCAGACTCCGTGCGTATGACGCATATGAAAAATTTTCGGTAAAAAATGATTATGGGTTCATTTTTTTCAACATGGCTTCAGATACTCCCAGAAACCTCTACACCCGTTAACTGCATTTTGTCGACGTAAGTCACAAATGCTTACTGGTTAAGTGGTTAGGTCAGTGTTCGTGGATGCGGAATTTTTTTTTTTTCGGGTGCTTTGGCGTGTATCTGCGCGGCGGCCAGTTAACATACTGGAATGAACTTCTTATGAATTTATTAGTCAAATGACATGTAAACGAGTAAATGTGCGATCTAATCTTCTCATACGCTAACATATTAAGTCTCCGTCGTAGCCCCTCAGGACATTTCTCCTAAACGAACTTTGCCCTATGAAATACGGTTTTCCTCTAATCTTCCAAATGTCAAAAACGATGCTAATTATCGCCGTCATTCAAACGTATCTACGAGACGAAGGATGCTAAATACAAGGAGGAAATATAAGGACCCATGTTCCAACTTTAGACGCCAAAAAAAGGCTATATAGTTGTTCACGTGCGAATGCCTCCGCGACTTAGATTGTTGATCTATTATTTAGCATCTAATTTTCGGGCCTAAATACAACCGAGGATGTTAAAATTTAACACGAAACATAGGTAAGCGTGTCCTTTTGAGAGCATAGCACGCCCCATGAGATGTATCTGTTCGTGGGGAAGGGTTATTTCCACAGAGCAAAGTTGTCTTCGACACGTTAGGCGGGGCAGCATATACTACGTATTTAATAGGCACACTCAAGTCACAATGTGACCGCGTATCGTACTCATTCCAGAATTTGTAATCACGGAACGCGGGCTATATAACTTCATTTACGTTAATCTAGCCTATTGTTATTTGCAATGGTTACATTACCACCAAAAGTAAGAAACACATAAACAGTGTTTACAAAAAAACGGAAAAGGATGGCGGAAAGCGGCATTCATATGAGACTTGTATTACAACTTTCTAATATTCTGATACCTGTTACTCTACTCAGGGGCACGCTTCGAGTTTTATCTCCAGAATCGGCGTTAGATTTTATTACGGCAGGAAAAACAAGACTATGTTTTCCAACGTGACGAGCTGCGACAACCGCACGCGTAAGACTGTTCCCGTTACGGTAAGAACTTCTGTTGCCTGGGTCTACGTCGCATGGGGCATCACATAAAGTTCCAATGCGGTGAGTTGGAAAACCGACGAAGTCGATTAGATTTGCTTCGTTTGTCTGAAAACGTTTGCTTAAATACTTGTCCGAACAGCCGACATCTTACCCGTTATAATTCAATCTAAGATCTCCAAAACCTTTGAAAGGCGAAACAGAGCGTTCCCCCACCCATGACTAGTCTGACATTAAGTTTCGTATGAGATTAGCAAATGGGCTTTATTCGAACACTCTTGATTTATAAACCTGTTGTAAAACCTAACAAACAAAAATAATAAATCACGAAAGTTTTCCTTAATCATGTTATTTTTCAGTTATCTCAATCTTTTTTGATATATATATATATATATATATATATAGTTCGTGTCTAAAAAACACGTTTTTAAAAAAATGCGACTGAACTGTCATATAAACTAAAGAGTTTAAAATTAATGTAAGCTTTGATACCAACCACATGGCCCCGCATCGTATTTGAGGCGCACTACGTTGCATCTTGGGCCGGTGTATCTAATTCCTGTTGAATAACAACCGCTTGATATCTGTTTAGTTATTATTCTGCTTATGGGTCGAAAACCTACCTATTAATACTGTATTTGGGCAATTTCAGCACCGGATCCGATGCTATTTAGTAAATGAATCTTTAGCTAAGGCGCTTTTTTCAAATGGAGACACATTTAGCCCGAGACGGGATGCTCAGCAACGGTCAAGGTTTCTTCATCGATCAGTTCAACATTATTTCTGCCCCTGACTCAATCGTACAACACCCAATTAGCCATGAGCCTTTCAAAGGACGCTCCCAATACGCAGTTACAATATCGGTCCCCTATCGAAGGTCAATTAGCCAAACGTCAACGTTGGGTACGATGCGAGGACTTGTACGTCGTCCGAAACTATTACACATAATGCCTCTATGCCATCCGGCTAGCTGGGTATTACTATGTCCCTAATCACTAATTAATTAGATGGCTAATTGTCTAGACACTCCTCAAAACAAACAGTCGGAGTAAGTAAACGTCAAACATTGGAAGCCGTACTATCAATTGATACGCGGTGCGGCCATGTTGTATTGTTGAGGAACTTCGAACAACAAGTAAAACGTAAGGTAAGGCTAAAGAAAAATGTCACTCGTTTACCTTATTATATATGTAATCAAGCGGAAAAAAAAAAAAACTAATTTTCAGTAACGAAACGTGACGCAAAAATTCCTAATATTCGTACGAATCGGTAAACTGTGAATGAAAGTTAAAGCATTACCATTAGAACAAAGCGTTAGCTTATACATTGTTCTTGATATAACTATATCTAATAGTTCTTCAATGGCGATTAGCGTGTAAAAGCGCACATTGGTCCCAATTAGCGTTTCGCACAAATGGTACAATGAAAATAACTGTTTAGTCCTTATGCCCCGTAGTCTTTGCTCCTTTTTTTTAGAATAGTATCATAAGCCAAAAATAACATCCGGTGTTAGACTGTGCGCTAGATTCATTCGACATCCTCTATTTCCTTTCTCAGATGTTTTGACTTCTAGGTTAGTAAGTACATCATCTTGGAACGATCGGCACTTTTCAGCGATTGGACCGATTCAGGCACATATCAAACTCGGTAGTTGCAATCATCCGGTTGTTCCTCATTGTTCACGCTATCCTGGACTTTGGCATGGCTTTGTACCTATGTATATCATGCGTTCCCAGAAGATTTGCCCAGTTTAGGAAAGCATCCGAGTTCTTTACATGTATATAGTTGTTGCATGAACGCTCCATAACGTGTACCATCCTGTATGATAGCTGATGGGAACCAATGTACGCCTCATAAAGGTACCTTGATAGGTAGTAATAATCATGACTTCTTCCTAGTAAAATATCTACCAAACGCAAAAACTTATAAGTCTAATCAAGTTGAATGGACTATTCATGCATACTTACGTGTGTTCTATTCTGAAATGTACATTCTGTAAAATTTTTAAATGTAAGGACCACTTGGTAATTTCATGGACACGAGTTCGCGGCGTACCCCAAATATTGCCCTGAAGGTGTTTTAGTAGGCTTACCGTTCTCAAACGATCAACAAAGTGTTAATTTAGAAAACCTAGACTTTTAAGTGATCTGTTTGAATACTCTGCTAATTTCGAAATGAGCAAATTTTAGTTATATCAATGTAAACCGATGTGCATAATGTGAATTCTTCACCAAATGAAGAGCTACCGAATGTGTCACTTTCATTATTCGATTGTTTTAGATGACAAACCGAATGACCACCAGGGTTGACCCGCGCACGCAACACGGAAACTTTGTTAAATCGATGCCGTGGTATGACGATATCTTCATTGCACCCCAAATATCCCTTGCCGTCTTTGGAATTCATATTACGTACACTCCCGAAAAACGTCGGGTAAGTTCGTTCAGGACCTTCTGAAAAGCTGTTACGAGTGGTAACTGATCGAAACCAGCTTGAATCCGATTCGTCGCGTCTACCGCAAAATGACGCAAGTGAGATAAAGCACATAGTTCAATAGTAGGTATTGTGAATGTATAATAATAATAATAATAATACGAATTGATCTCGTTACGATATGTGGCTACGGCACTAAGCTCATGATATTTGTTCATCAGGTCTTTAATCTATTTTGGCGAAGACTGGTAACCACCTTCATTGCCGCTCTAAATCTTGCGTACCTTGTTGAAAACATCATGGCGATGGCTGCAGGGCTCAACCACTGGCATCATGTGAAATGGCTTATGACGAGCGTGACAGCAGTATTCACGATGGGTTATATTTTTATAAACCTTAATAAGGTGGGCCACACTTCACAGAAATTCATTTTACTTATACATGCCAGTCCACAAAATGGTTATACAGTGAACGTTTAAGACAAAACTTTACGATCAAACTGTGGATCGTTGATGTTTGTGCTTACTATGTAGGTCTATGTAGAATGTTTGGTCTGGGAGAAAATTTTCTTCTATTTCAGTGTTAAAATATAAGCCCAATGGCAAGCCAGTAATAGAGATTATTTGGAATAAATAATGAAGTTGATGCATGCTCTTGTAGATCATACACGATTCTTACAAACGTTCCTAGCTACCAGGTGCTCAGGCACTGAACCACACATACACAAGTATTCGCACGAAAAATAATAGTGCGGATAAAAAGAAAATCGTAACGCCCGCCCATGTATAACGAGTGACCGACATAACATATCGTTGTTTGCAAGACAAACATTACATTCTCGTACATATAAATTTCGTTGTTGCCTCACTATACGTGCACCGCTACCATGTTATCATGTTGGTAGATGTAAAAGTTGATGATAAAAGCGCTCAGCTGGCAAACTTCTTCGTATTCTATTGAGCATTTGCATCGTAAGCTCATTCTTACTAGATCGACATATGCTTTTCGTATAAACCCGACCCCGTCACAGGTACGAGAGCTGGTGGTATTTTATCGCATCAACTACAACTCGTGGTGCAGTTCTGAAAAGCGATCCGTCCGAATCAAAGTCAGTTCTATGATCCCGATCATATGGCTTGTGGTTCTAGGAGCTGGAGGAGACTATGCTTTGTATGCGCAGGTAAGTCAGTTTTTAATTTTTGATGTTCTCTGACTATCCTTTCTCTGTCCTCAGAATCACCTGATCTTTGGTACAGCACAAGGACCTGCTTCAATAGAAAGAACAGGTCGCCTGGATCTTACTAGACTTATCTACATTTTCGTCAGCAGACCTAAATGTCTATAGCTCGATTGTACTTTCAATTGTCACGACCACTGGTTCAGTAAGAGTATTCTCTCGGGTTCTATAGAGAAAACACACTATTCTGTTGGTTTCTGGGTCAAGCTGTTTTAGCTTAGCAGGTATGGCCTCGCATCGGAACTTTGCGAAGCTCGAAAATCCTCAACCAGTTCCTCACGCTTATCTAGCTTGTTACGATAGCAAAAAAAAAAAAAAAAGCTGTAAAATTTCAAATCGTGAAACTAAGCTTATCAGGCGCCAGTGAATCATCTATTTATTTCTGATTTGAGATTGCGATATCTTACGTCACATGCTATGAGTCACAGTTCTAAGTAGCTCATTGTGCCCTCCGGTCTAATGACCCTAATGAGGCCGAATGTGACGACGCTTCATTTTTCGCGACCGTGCTTGCAGGAGGAAATCAAGCAATATTTCGATGCACTGGGTTCCCACGGCGATGGACAGTCAGAGGCGACGTCTACTCTTAAAGCTTTTGACGGCTTTATTCAACGATCCGTCATCATGGGCACGATAAGCTTTGTTGTGTTTCTGTACAGCTTGTTACTATCTATGGTTATAGGAAACATTAGTCACCTAAGCATGTGGATGAGATCTCAAGAGATAACTGAATTCGAAGAGAGTTCAACGACGACATCTCTCTCGCAAGTGCGTATGATAGAAGCGATGTAGCCTCTGAATTAAGGTTATCTCAACTGAATTAAATATTTCACTACATTTCGAAGATAATCACCCTAAAAAGATAAATATCAAACGGCAGCTACTAGAGTAGAATATGAGGTAATACCTATATTCATTTCGCAGGAGTCTAAACGGGTTCAATGTGTCCTCATGCAACGAACGAATAGTGGTGACATCGAAGTTCTTGAAAATAACAATGAAAAGTTCTTTACATTATAAGAAGAGGCATCTACTGCACAGTGTGGGATTCTGTCCTATTAAAAACCATCCACCCGCTAGAAACTTTTTTTTTTTTAATATATTTGGCCTGTGATATGAAACCGCTGTGATATTATCCTAGGTTACAGCGTGCGAATGGATTCAGAAATACATCTTAACATGACTTGTTCGTTCGCTTTCTGCAAAACAACACATCGTCTTCTACAGTTTTATAGAACCTTGCCACCTTAAAGTTAAGGACCAAGTGCAACTAACGCCATATATACTTATCATACCGTTTCATTATTTCTTAAAAATTAACTTTGAATTTTAACTGAAAATCTTCGTATATTTTAACTTTACATGCTGAGACACAGCAACACTTGCTTCCTTATGGGGTGCTCAGTCATTCTGCAATGAGACTAATACCCACCGCACGTCGACTATACTACATATTTTTGTTCGTTGTTTCGTGATATAAAAACGTAACATTCATGTGTAGCACGGTACTTGCTCATTCAGACATGTCGTCCATTGGCAATACCGGTGCCACTTTATGGCAAGTGGTCGAATATATTGACGAACTATATGTATTCCACCGTTTGGAGTGGCACCCCGTCTGAATTCGTCACGAATCGATCTGGCTAGCGGCCAATCCTACGTAACTACAACAATAATTAAATGACGATAGCCTTTTTTCTTCTTGATGCTCTCTCTAAGCGCGTGTGTGTCCCAAGAACCCAAGGGAAATCAGGGACTTCTCCTCACAACCAGGCAGCGAATGGCAGAGAAATACGTTATTCGTGTCTGTAAGAACCAGTCACTTGACCCCGCCATGACGGCCAACGGCCTTTCTAGGAATGGCCTTTTAAGGTCGTTTGTTGTTGCTTCATGAGTCCAACAGTGTTAGAGACCCAATTGTTTTGCTTCAGCGGCAATCCGGATCATTTTTAAGGGCACTGAGTCGTATCCACGTACGCACAAGCAGGGGCAAAGGCGTCGTGATCATCCAGTCCAACGGCGCAATCGTGTCGAATTGGCGGTATCCGAAATCATTTCTTTACGTATAGTTGTAAAGAACACGAAAGAAGATCTCGAACATGCTGGCAACATTCAACAAAACGAAGCTCGTTTTATATCTCTTGCTAGTGAGCTCAGCCTGGATTATGGCCGCATTAATTACATTCAAAGTAATCCGACAGAGTAAAAAGGTCATTTCATCGAACGATGATACACGAAGCAGTACAAATGTAAGGTAGGAGAGGCTTGAGCGAACAGGCCAAAAAAATGCGTACCATTCTATAGGAGAACGGGCTAGAAGCAAAGCCCCGTTATCTGATTTTCAATATTTATTCACTGTAACCCCCTATTATTGTTGAGAATTGCCTCGTCATCAAGTCTTTACCAACACGAACGGGCCCCAGGTCGAACTTTGGTACAGGTAATCTCGGAAGAAACGACATCATGAATAGACCCGCTTATCTCAGACGCGACCTATTATTACTGTGTGCTGTCATTCGGAAATTGTACCGCCGTTCATTTATCTTTGTCTTTTTTTACGTTAGCAAACTCGACGTGGCTCGTTGATTTCTCACGCGCTATCGTCCTTTCTTTTGATGACGTAACACGGCTGGCTTCCTGTTCGATTCCGGTCAGCCATCTCTGCTTTGTCAAGGTTCAGACCCCATCGTTAGTTGCGTGAGCGAAAGCGAGCGTCACATTGCGTAGTAAGCTGTCGACACGGGGTGCTATTGTGCCTCGAAACGGCAATCTGCGTTGCCTTAAGCGGTAGGTACAATGATAGGTTACGTACGAATAAAACTCCTGTTATAAGGGTATGGCAACCGCGCAGACGGATCTGATTGGTGGACTCACTGCAGGACAACTGGGCGACAACGATTTCCACTAAGCAATTCTATTAGGGAAAATGTACACGGTATTTGACTAACCTAATAAAATACTATTTTATGGTGAACGTTTAGAAATAGTGAGAACGTTTTACTCTACTAACGGTTATAGGATTTCCGAAGGAACCGTTTATTAAAGGGAAACCTGTGATCCAATCGCGCGACATTTTCGTTTTTTTCATTGATTTTAGTGTCACGTTCTATATTTTGAGATCATACTTAAAAAAAGCAAATGCAGAAAAAGATTATTTGCATATCGTTATCATATTTTGCAGAAAACTTTTGCTTTTGAAGTTATCTCTCGATAATAGTCGCGTTTCGCTTACCTGACTTACCAACTAAAGGCTCGCATTTACTAAGTATCACGCCACGGTTGACGACAAATATAAACTGTTTTAACTTTCTTCAGTTGCGTAACCTGTTCCATCATCAGGAAGCCAACCTGTCCCAATTGGATGAGCTCTTCTCGTCGCTTGTGCTCTTCTGGTATCTCATGTGTACCATTAATGTTATAGCCAACATTCACCTCATATTCGAAGGATCGTTTCCCGGTTTTCATGCTTGCCGCATCATATTTAACCTTTTCATGGAATGCTTCCCTTGGTACGCCATCGTCTGGGGGTCCACCGGAGCTGCTGAAGGAATCCGGGTAAGTTAACACGGCTCCTGTGACAGCGCAATGAGCCATTCAATATAGACACGGTCTCAAAGCACGTCTAAGTTAGATAGTCTGCTTTCGATTAGTCTAGCAATAAACTACAGGCAGTGTAATGGAAATTCCATACTTACATTGTTAACCTTAATTCCTTTGACGGTTCAATCGGATTGTTAATTTATACATATATAAGGCTAGTGAATACCCTCGAGCGACAGGGCTTCGGGGTACAACTACGTGTACCTGTTTCCTCCTGTGCCTTATTGGAACCTCTTTTATCGGTCGTTTAGGTTGGCTTATCATTCAAATGTGATTTTTTAATAATCGATGCGTTTTATAGCTTTTCCGATCAAATCAACACTGTTTATTGGCTATTTTAGACCGAGTTCTACGGTTTCGTCAAGCAGCTTGAGCAGACAGTGACAACACTGAACGGGAAAAATCTACAGGCGCCACTTAATAGATCAGCCTTCTCAATGCTTCTTTGGATGCAGAGGACGACATTCTGCCAACCCAAAATAACGCTCGCCGGATGGCTGCCGATACGCCGTAATATGCTTTTGGCATTAATGGTTTTCTTTATTCTCTACGTTGGTGTTGTGTCGCTGTCGAAATCGTCGATGTCGCAATAGCACGAATACTAGTTAATGAATTTCTCCATAGATGACATGCTTTACGAAAGTTAAAACTTGACGTTAAGCATGTAACTTCCGCCCCCTACCGCTAACTCGTCAAATAAACCAACCGCTTAATGGTAGTGTAGGCAGTCATGCTTGTTCTTTGGCATAACGTAATCCACATCTATAGGGTACTAAGGTTGTACGTTAAACCTTAGATTATATGATATGGTGCTGGAGTTCGTAGCTTCATAGAATTAGCTATGCTGAATCGCTATATATAACTAACTTTACTTATCGAAAATGCATTAAAACGATTAAAAAACTGCCATTATGTCAAAATTGTGCAGTTTAAGCCTTTTTTGCGGTCGCTCAAAGCACAACAATAACGCTATAGGTAAGTGATTACGCATTGGGTCTGTATATACGTGCGTAAGCGAAGACGGACATACCGTCTGCGAAAATACGATACGACGGTGGGGTTTTATTGCTGAAACCTGCACCAGGGCCTAACAGATCGTGGTAGGACAACAGAGTGCTTTCATTACGCGTGATATTACCTGCTGACGTTCTGTACCTTCGCGTTTTTCATCCAACACTACGAGCATTCTGTTTCTTGAAAGTTGATTCAAAGCTCCAGCCAGTTACTTAGGCCACTAAAGGGTGCAGACGTCGCGTACACTATTTGCCTTATGCAGCTAGTCCTACAATTAATATTGGGATGGTAACATTCAAAGACGAGGTGACTATCGTGAAAAGATTTCACTGAAGTTCAAGTCTGAAGAAAATCATCGCAATAAACAATGTTTTGAAAAAGAACAACGGCTCCTGGAAGAGTTCAATCCCACTAGGTGTTTCAAGGGATCCGTTAAAAGTCCGCGGCACGCTTCGAAATCGTCTAATATCTATTTTAACGCTACCAAATTCATCGCTTTCTATACAATACTAGGTGAGCCGAAATGGAAATACTCATGTAGCTCAGGAATATATTGAAAACTATGCCAGAGTACCGCTCAGATCTCTTCGTAGTAGTAAAAGAAAAAACATGTTTATATAGCATAAATGGTATACTATCGATAACGAGCCCTCAAAATCTTTCTACGACAAGTTGTGCATGTGGCGAACTGGCCACCTTAATCATCATTCCGTTCATTCTAAGACAACTCTGTGGCAGGATAGTTAAGTCTTGCCGTTCCTGCTTTCATGGCGGTAGAAGAACTCAGTCGTTTGCTCGCTGCATCGGAGTTATCAGCCAGAAACTCGATTGCCTCAGCAAAATACGAGCGCGTATCACTGCTCTATACGATCACCCTGTGTTAGAACATCGGGCCCTTCAAGTGCGTAGACGTGGCACTGAAATGTATTTTTGATGCGTCAAATCGCTGGCTGCTGTCTAGGGATATCCATAAATACTTCCTTTTTATAGTTTTAATAAGCTTCCTTCATTTCACATAACAGACGCACTGCATGGAACTCATTGTCACAACTGGCGGCAATCTATGGCTCTTCAAGCCATAATTCAACTGGTGAAGTCGCCGCGTCGACAAATATTGTATCTTTTAAATTGCCCTCTGTACAATCGAAACCTTGCACGTTCTGCAAGCAACAATACAATTGTAGACAAAATCTTACTCGAAAGCATCATGAAGATATAAACCCATATTGGTCTTATATTTTTTGTGTGTATATACATAATTTAATGTACATGTTATGTATATAAATATTTGGAGGGTGGGACAAAGGTCATTTGCGGGTCCTTATTTTAACACGCAGGATATATCTGTCTGAGTCAGCAAACTCTTGCTTTATATTTATATTCAATCTCGTAGAGGATAACAACCACTCTGTTATCTCCCTTGGTATTGCGTCAGAAACTGCAAGACCTTCTCGAGTTTTCAATGTTTCGTTTTTATACAATACATAATATTTTTATAATAATAATAATAATAAGCTATATTTGCACTCTCTTACGCCATATTCTAACACCGGGAGTTGAGGTCCGGGAGTTGAGACTGGAGCTCAAATCCCGGTGTTAGTGTAGTAAGGGTGTCTATTATTAGAGTCACATAAGCAACAGAAATACATTTGCAACAAAGTGTAAAAGAAGGACAGCCCGTTAAATTTATTCGGATGACCATGTTCATACAACTCGAACGTGATAGGTCTAGTGAAGAAATTGCACACACGTCATGGTACAACTGTAGCTATTAAAATTAAGGATATGTGAGGTGGTCCGAATTCTATACTAAGGCAATTGTTAATAGCAATACCAGACGCACAACCCGAAATAATCTTGTTTAGCCTAATGAAGACCACAATTCACTAATTTCTTTTCTCTTGTAGATAGTATCACACAGAGTAACGAAGAGCAAAAAAAAAAACAACAAAGATTTGCTCGAAAGGATAACTACCGTTTTTAACGTTTCTCTCCTAATGTTGCTCATGAACATTTTTTTTCTCATACATTGAGCAACGGCACTACTACGGATTTTGGAAGCATACAACCTCAAACAGATTAGACCAAGTAGACTTTACCTGCGGCAAACCCTGAGTAATGTTATCAATTGTAGCCTTCGAATCAATAGGACCAAGCCAAAGGCCATATGATTCAAAAACAAGGAATACCTATTGACACAAATTTTCTACCGTAGCACCCATGATGCCCATGTACGTGTACAATCATATCTTGTAATCTACACTACATATTTATAAGGTTTTGTTACGTGCGGTATGTTCATACAAACCGAGTACGTGGCCATCAAGTGGCCATCTTTATGTTTTCAAGGAACCCAAAAATCGAGTCATTCCATATTAGGCCGACATTTGTGCATTCACAAAGCTCCGTTAGGAAAAGTTTTATTTACTTAAAGATACAAATAGCATTCACTATACAGACACTTCCTTTAATTATGATTCCTTGCGGACTACTGAATAATTGTATAGTATTATATTATACAATACATAACTATATAGATGGCTATATCGTTGGTGCACTATATAACTATCATAACTCTTTAATTATATTGATCGAGGAAATTTCTCGGAGCAATTATTAGATCAAATAACGTATATCTTTATGTAAGGAATATACGATCAATCTATCAATCGGTCAATACGAATCAATCTATCTATGAAGTTCGCGGATTGCAACTTACCCTAGTGCGTCCGAGAAGGAGGGCGTCCATCTCGGAGCGCAGTTCGGAATTGGGGCCCATCGCCATTTTTGCAGCGGCACATGACGACGCGTGGGAACAGCGAGACGCCATTGCGACTATGTCGACGATGCGACACTGGGCAGATTCTTCGAAAGGCTACAAAACAAATGGTGATGAAAACAAGCCAAATAAGGTGACCATGATAAAACTGAATCGCAACGACGCTCTTGTCTCCCTTTAATCAAGCCATAGGCGGTTCATCTATTTTGATCTGGAACCGAACAAAGATAACACAATGAAATGACACTTAATAAATGTAATAGGTAAAAAACGATTTGTAGAAAAAAACTGGCCTGTATGTTGTTATAGGTTAGCGTCTGTGATATGACACCATGGTGACGTGAGGCTGAACTGAGCAGCTTCTAATTATTAGCCTACGGATACGGTGGCGATGAACTTGATGAAAATCTTACTTACAGCCACTTTATAAATGTTGTTGGTTAAATCTATTGAGTTTAACCTTTTTCGAGCTACCACATAAGAAAGTCATACAAATATTAGTAGTAATGCGTGTATTCGGGAAACAAAAAATGTTCTATTTCTATTTCAGTTGCATACAAGATGAAGTATCTAGTGTATGCGTTAACTCTGGTAGGGCTGTGGACTAGATACTATGGCCACGGAATTGAGTGACGATTTTCCAAAGCGTAATATAATTTAAGGAATAAGTGGCGCAAAACTTCAAGTTTAAAGCTTTTCCGGAGTTGTTAGTGTACCTATGTACTCGAATGCGTAAGCAGACTAGTAAATCCACAATACCTCTTCGTACCGTGTTGAATACGGCTTTTTGAATACCTTCAACGAAGGACGTATGCAAAACAAAACGCGAACAATCCGTAGAGGAAATACAAGTAAACAATATGTCCAAGTACAAGCAAAAAAACAATATGTCTCAGCGGTAAAATATCGCAAATATGAAACGTGGTGTTATGCAGAATCGTATGAAAACAATTTACTCTCTCTCTTCTCTTCTCTCTCTCTCTCTCTCTCTCTCTCTCTCTCCCTTCGTTCTCTTTGTCGTTCCCGATGTGGCTGACATGTAGTGCAGTGAAAGTTCTGATTCTTTCACAATAGAACAGAGTATGCACCCACGGTCAGTTGATAAACCCAGTAGCTCTCTTTCCAAACGCATATAAACGGTCATCGCAACAGATAAAAAAACGCTGAGTCAGTTACTACTCTATGCACTACGTTCTATGAAGTAAGCACAATGTACACGTTTATTTATACAGCTTACTAGGAATTGCGAACGTTACTGTTATCAATAAGTTCGCATTAATAGATTACGATCATCGATATCCTACGGTAAATTTTAGGTCGCAAGAAATTCTTTCAGCCCTAAGATATATCGGGTTTGTTGTATAACTGTACCCAATGAGGGGAAACTTAAAGAAAAAACTTACATGAGATGTCGGATTGAATTTTTAATTGAATGTGTTTATCCGATGAGTAGGTATATGAGGTAAAAATATGGCGCTAAAATAGTTATTTTACTGTAGGGGTCCTTGTTTTACCCTAAATCCTTTTACAGCCGTTCAACTTAAGAAATGGCTTCCTTTTGCAGTCCGATAGTGTTCCATAATGGTCGATTATTTCTGCGAAAAATCCATAAGCGTTTATATGCATCAGCAATTGAATAGCCTTACGGAACAACATAATCGTGGTATCTATTATGGGCAGCACGTATCACCCACCTCCTATCTATTTGTATTGCACAAATTGTCATACAGCATATCCTTGATTAAGCAGCTTCGCACGCAAAGAAGCATGTTTGGAGCCTCCAAGCTGTGCCTAATATAAGCTCAAGTTCTTGAGTTCAAGTTCAGAGCTTGTGGCGAAAATATTCGCACTTATCAGTTAGAATAAGTTAGATAGGTAACGATCGT